ACATTTGATGAAATAATCAATATGTTAATTAAGCATTTATAGTACTGCAGTTGTTTGGACAGAGATATTTATGGTTCTTTTATTACACAGATCCCAACTCAACAGATTTTCACTTCAATATCTATACAGGAAAGTGGGGGTCGTCTCTTATTATTTTACAGGTAGGTAACACATGCGTGCGTAACACAGAACAAGAGAATAAATTTAATGACTAACTTAAAACTAACAAGGAAAGGAAACGAATAGACTTAGGAAAGCAAGGGAAAGATAGAAAGGCAAATAGAAAGTACCCGGGTTCAAGTCATTTAGTTGATCTCCTTGACGATTTTCATTCTCACAATCGTGATATCCTCTCTTTCTCTACTAAACCAGCAGTTCAATGTCTAGGTTCTCCTGCTCTCCTAGTGTCCTATGGATCCTCGTACCTATTTCTTTCCCTGGTCTTGGCAGATTCTCTCTTACAGCTACAGCCTCCTCTCTTTCGAGTCTGGAGTGCTGTGTACCACGTCTGTTTTCTCCAAGGTCCAACCCAAAAAGTGACTACCACTCTTCTCTCACATTGCCTTGGGCTCTTACTTCCTTTGTCTATCTCCCCAAATTTGGAAAAGTCTTAATCTCCTCTTCCTTTGTTCACCTCTCAGTTCTTAGAAAGGGTAATCCTCTCCCTCAAGTCGTAACGGTTTATGTAAAAATTGCTTTGAGACAATGGAAAGGAAGTAAGAAAGTAGAAACGAAAGAAGAATGTAGAAAAAAAAGAAAGAACTTACAAACTATATAAAAACTAAAATAAGGCTGACAGCCACAGTACAATATATTTTATAATATTACTTGGTTTTTCAATTAAAATAATAAATTTGAAGAATATAAAATAAATTTAATGTAATTATATTTGACATAATTAAAAAACATTAAATTTTTAAAATAATATTTAGTGTTTGTCTTGATATCTTCCATAGGCATATCCAGAGAGGAAGAAGTCATATACCCTATCCTTAATCAAAAACTTAAAATAAATACATAAAGAAAATTACATGAATAAATTTCTAATGATTATTTATTCATATAATTTTCTAATAGTTAAATAAAAATAAATAAATAAAATATTCTTTACATGTCTTATTAGATTTACCTACAATGATAATTATGCACAAACTACTCCCATTGCCTCTCTTTACAATGATGCCTAAATATGGCACTGATGTCTTCCAATATAAAACAACAAATAAAAAACATAGTTTCAGCATACTATATATCATTTAATTCTGAAAATTTAGCTCTGCAACAAATATGTAGTTTATTTGAAAATAGACTACACATTTAAGATTATATTGTTAAATTTTTTGAAAATTGACTATATTTACTTTAAAATTAAATAAACTAATTTATATATATCTTAATACCTGAGGTAGGTGTCCAGAAACTGGTTCTAATAGGTCCTCCAAAGCCAATTCTTGTAGAAGCTTTCACTGTTATATTATATTCTGTATTTGGCTGTAAATTTTCAAAAGTTGTTTGTAATGTTGAACTATTTACTACCTGTTCTATTAGATCCATTTTCTGTACACGAAGTTCCATAGAAGATGGTTGACAAGATACCTAGAAAACAATTTTACAATTTTCACACATTTTAAAAACTTTTAGGGTAAATAAATTCTATATTAATTGTTCCATATAAAAAAATATTTAAATTTTGGACACAAACAACAGTTAGATGAACTAAAATAAATCATATCACATTTATTCAAAAACTTTGTTTTTACAAAGAATGACAGTCAAAATAACAAATCATCTTAAATAAAATGACTCATTCAACTAAAATATTTTATTCATTAATTGTGAATATCTTCCATAAAAATATATTTATATACAGAATCATTAGTTACAAAGAATCAATTTCTGTAAAGTTTATGATNGCTACTTTTCTGTGATTATATTTAATTAATTAAGCTAAAAAATAACTAATAACTAATTAAGCTAAATAATTTGTAACTGAGGATGGTATATCATATTTAAATATGTCTGGAAGAGGAGATTGGAATGGAGGCTCAGGTAGCATCCACATGGTACACGGGAGTTGTGGGTTTGAGTCCTGCTCTGGGCAGGTTCTTTTCTTCCAGAATATTCTAAATTATTTAATAAATATAATTGCGAAAAAGTAGCCCAATGTAATCTGGTGGGTGTTTGGCCTCATCAAAATTATTTAAATTTTGAGAAATACAATACAAAAGACCCTTGAGATACACCCAAACAAAAAAATGGAATGAACATGCAAGATGAAGGCTGTAAATTTTTTGAAGAAACAGAATAGCCCATCATAATAAATAAAACCATTAAAAAATTTAAAATAAAGTGATTGAATTATTTGATATGCTCAAAAAATAAAGGAAAACCTAATCTAATTCTTGCAAAGTTTGGATTCTGAGTATATGGTAAATTTCAAAATTTATTAAAATATAAATAAACTTTTTCAAGAGCTCTTATAACACATTGCAATTATATTATTGTAAATTTTCTTTCCATTTTGTTTTATTTTCTTTTTTCTTATTATCTTTTCGTTCCTTCTGTGCCATTACCTTTTCTTAAACTCATGTGAGTTGGCATCTGATTGGCCAACGAGTGTCACATGGGTGAGAAAGTCCACCCCAAGACATATAAAACAGGCAGGAGTTACGTGTGAGGGAACTGTTTCTTCTGTTTCATCCTGCCCTCTGCTCACCATCCACATTAGAGCTCCAACCAACAATGGAGGCATGTGGAGACACTTTGAATTGGCAAAGACAGTATATAAGAGCATAAGAAAATAGAAACGGGATGCAAGGAAGGGTCTTGGCGAGATCATCACAATTGAATCCGTTTCCATCAAACTGCATAGTAGGAAGATTTATCTAGAAGAAAAACAAGGACGTTCATTTTAGAAGAAACTGGTGACTAAGTTTTATGTACTGACCAAGTGAGTGCAATTATTGTAAGTGAAATGGGCAGCCCATGTCATTAACGACTCTCCAGCTGGAATCACTTTTCCTTATTGTGTTAGCTAACATGTTCTTGTACACTCCTTTCATTTTTTCCTTTCTCTGTCTCCTAGAAATACACATTACGAGATATCACTAGTCTAAGATGTCTTAGCTTTTGTCGAAAAATATTAGATTGTAAATTGAATTGTACTAAATGTTTCATTGTAATAATTATTTAAGGAAGGAGTAAATTTCTCTGTTGCCCATTAAGCCAACTCATTTGCTCGTCTTCATCTGTCCCATAGACCCATGAACTATGGGGATTACTATACTTTAGCAATTTTATCCAAAAGGGAAGATGCAGCCATAGACCAAATGGGTAATCCATAATGTATGCAAGACTGAAAATTAGTAAAAAAAAGCTCTTAATGCACTTTTAGATAAGATGGGATATTATGGAAATTTTATAAACCTATGTCTAATAGGCAAAGATTTAACTATTTTATCAATATGATTTTTAAAAGTAAGTTTAGTAGCATAGATTATTCCCAGATTGTTGAATGACATAACATAATTAACAGGAGTGGAGTCAATGTAAAAAGTAGGTAAAGGAGAATTGAGAATTAAGGTATATACCATAAAAAATAGTAGAATTTCTACACTGGAGTTTTGTAAAATGTACATACCTATAAGCCTTTTACCGGTGTGCATCTCAGAACAAACTATACAATAAAGTTACAAACGTTTTCAAACCATTACGGTTCTTCTTCAGGTAATTTGAACTTCCTAATGGAATGTACTTCAATTCAAAGTTGTTATGAAATATAATCCAGAACGTTGTCCCAAGTGAATGGATGACATCATTATGGATTTGTGTGCTATGCATGTTGTGTGTTATCGTAGAGTTTTATCCAGTAGGGCATGCCAGGTGGTTGATAGAGCAATTTCTTCCTTGTAGTTAATACAATTACTCTCCTTAATGTTATTTAAGCATATGTAGATCACCTCAAGCCATCTGAGGTGGTCCATGTGGTGGGTGGTGTAGAGAATATAGGTTCTATATCCAGATCCAAAGAATATATGGCCAGAGCTGTGTTGGTTCTTTTATGTTGAATATCCACTTTATGTTCTTTAATTCTGGTTTCGAGGGTGCGTTTGGTTGATCCTATATAGACCATACTTCTATTACACCTGTGATCAATGATAGAGATGGTATACATGCCTGGAAGTTTGTTTCTGTCACATAACCATAGTTTTCTGTATATTAATCCTGAGATTAGCACAATAAAATAGACTTTTTAGCAAGCAAATATCAGACTGTAGGATTTTTGGATCAGAACATATTAACTTAATGTCATTGACTCATGCTACAATGTGAGATTTAAGATGGCAAAGAAGATTGTTAATATATATCGAGAAAAAAAGGCCACTGAGAATGGATCCTTGTTGAATACCATATAAGGGATTAAAATCGAGAAATTCAAAATTGGCTACTTTGATTTTACATTTTTGTAGCAAAAGTGATTATTGAGCCATGAATAAAATGCTGGGTCAATATTATTTAAAAGAAAATTTATAAAAAAACAAAACACTGCTTTACTGGATTTCATTTTATTAATAAGTTTCTCTCAAGTAGTTTCACACAATCAAATTCATTATCAGGAGATGCAGAAGTGAATTAGTTTAGTAGTTGTCACCTAAGTTTGCACAACAACCAGATGTTAAACAAACAACTTATTACCATTGAAATCAACCCCTAGATTGTGTTATTACTAAACTAATTCATTTGTGCATCTCCTGATGATAGACTTAGTTGCCTGAAAATACTTGAGATAAATTTGTTAATAAAGTGAATACCAGCAAAACAATGTTCTGTTTTGTTATGTTTTAAAGAATTTGGAGTTAATTGAATGGAATTAATTGAAAGAAAATAAATTTTCTTTCAATTAATATGAAAAAACAAATTAAATGAAAGACATAAAAAATAAACTTACTGCACTAATTGTTCTAATTCGAATATTATATAGTACTCCTGGAGATAAACGAACATTTTTATATTTTCCATATGTCTTTTGATCTCCTACAATAAAATAGTGATAATCCTCTTTTGGTAGATCTTTGGCATCTAATTCTGCAGTAATGTAGTAAGGTATTTTTGCAAGTGTAGCACTGTCATGGTCTAGTAAATGTTGTTGGTTGATTTCTTCCCTATTTCTACCATCTTCCACAATTATTTGATATTTTCTGCAAATAATAATAATGTAATTTGTTTTAAAGATAGATGGTTAGGGTTCCATCATATATTAATACTGTACTTAGAAATTAATTTTAATTAACATATTTTCAATAGTGTCAATAAATTCATTATGTAAGTTGATATTCTTTGTAATAAGCATTTCTTCATCTAATGTGCATGATGAGCATTTGTTTTTGACGATGCATACTATGTCAAGGCCACAGAAAAATAGGTGAAATTTTAACTTTAATTAATACTAAATTATTTGTCAACTTCAATCTTTACCTATTATGTTCAGAATATTTTTCAAGAATAAAACTTAATATTATGGTGATACACCAATGTATTTTGTTATATTTCATACATATGTTTTATATGTGTTTTTTTATTTTCCCTTCCTTCTTTGTTCTGTGTTCCTTTGTATACTTCCTGGAACTTTCTTTCAAGTGTGGGTGGTGGATAACCTGGTTAGGGGACAAAAGAAAAGAAATAGCCCAGAGGGCAAGTAAGAGATGAGAGGGTCACTTTTGCCTTGGACCTAGAAGAGGGAAGACACGTCAGGTCTCCAGGTCGTTTTAGCATCGACTGGAAAAAGGTCACAAAAAGTTCAGAAGAAAGAAGTATCGTGACTAAGGACATTTGTAGGCTAAAGAACTAAGAAACTTATTCGTAGACTCTCACATAAGATCCATCCCCAAAAGAAATTCCAGGACGACATCATCCAACTGACACCTCGATCACCGACTCGGGTACCCGTTCATGCTTAAACTTATATTCTTGTCCCTCATGATCTATCCTTATCTCTTTTTCTTTAGAGTAAGTAGTTTTAAGTTAGGTTATATATATTCTTTGTATCACGAAAAAAATTTGTTCGACTGTGGATCTGAACAGGTGTTGTTTTGTTTTGTTGGAAAATAAGGAATCAGGAGTGTCGGAATCCACAAGAACCTTTCTTGTAGAAGTTTATACGAGAAAAATAAAAGCATGTTTTATTGTTTTAATGCCTGCCTCTTGTAAAAATCAAAACTCACCACGTGCATACAACAACAATATATAGGTTTTAAAATATGTCAGAAAAACACAAAGTATGCCTAGAAAAAGTCATTAAAAATTATTCATTATATACTGTATATTTAATCATGATCAAACAGACTGTAGCTTCCAGAAAAATCCAGTCTAAATAAAATTTCACATTCTTTACTTTAATTTTATTGATATTTATTCTATTTTATCCTATTTTTTTTCATTGTGTCACTATGCAACGTGCAATTGACACCAAGATAAAATATAAAAAAATATGCAATTTTTATATATTACAAATTTCTGAATCATTAGCAAATAACTTCAATAACTATCTAAGAAAGATTTGAACAGCTATCTATGAAAGATTTGAAACTTTAAATCAATTCTCATAAACAATATCTATCTATCGAAAATGCTAACATCGTAAGCTGTTACATTCTTTGATGAATAAACTTCATTAATTAAAGAAGTGTAGTATGTTAATTAGTTTAGTTAATGTAGAGTATATAGATTTATAAACAAATTTTTAGAAAATTATTAATTATTTAAACAAAATATAAAAAGTATATTACATTATTCTTGAATGTCCAGATGAAAATTTAATTATAATAGAATCACTTAGTGTCCTGTTATCCACAATTTCCACAATTGAAGGCAACATAGATCCTAAATTTAAAATAAATAAAATGATTTACTTTAAAAATGAAATTTAAAATAATCAATTCTTTTGGTGTTTGGTTTATTTCATGACTAAAATCTGTTATTTTTAAAATAAATTTTTATTGTATTTTGTCATTTTCCTAATTTTAAAATTTATAACTAAGAGTGTGTAAATTAAAAATACAGAATATGAAAATGAATTTATCCTAGCAGTTTCTAGAAATTTATTCTAAATTTATANGAACCACTGATAGAGAGAAGTGTAGATGAATGCAGAGAAATATGGCAAGAACCATATTACTTGATGTCAAATACAATTGTCTGTAAGTAGTGTAGGATTTTACAAATCAAAGATGTAAAAATAAGTATTTGTTGAAAAAAATACATAAACCAGTTGGACATAGTTGGAGAATGGATGGAAAGTATTTATCAATACCCAGTCAGAGAGACCTGTCAGTATGGAATATGTTTACTTTGAACTGCAGTGCAGCACTCACAACATCATGGCAGGCATGGCGACTTTATCTAGCTATCACTGTTATTAATCATGTTTCTCCTGAAGTTTTATATAAGTTCTCCTGAAGTTTTCTGTATATAAATACTAGAATGGTGACCAGGGCAAGATTCAGTCTGCTATTCTGGAGATTCAGGCTACAGTCTTGGTTAGATCTTCAGAAATTTTCTTGGTAGTTTGACATAGTATATTAAATCTATCCATTACAGCTCGATTGCTGCCATTCCAGTCCTCGTGCACTTTTCAAATCCTTTATGGATTTGAAAAGTGCTGGCTTAGTAGCAAAAAAGAGTTAAAAAATAAAGGCTAAATTAAGATTTCATTATGTGTATTGTATTATTTGTAAATAAATTAAATTTATCCTTAATTAAACTTATCAATTAATGTAAATTATTATCATTACAGGATTTGAAATCAATGAAGAGCAAGGAACAAAAAATGCTTGTGGAATGATAAAAGACATTTTTACCTGTAATATATGTGAAAAGAAATTTTTTGCAGTTCAAGAATTTATACTTCATATACAGGAACATTTAGGAAAACAAAATTTTGAATGCAAATTCTGTAAAAGGAATTTTATTTGGAATTATACTTTAAAGAGTCATCTGTTTATTCATGGGGGAGAGCAGCATGTTCATTGCGACTTCTGCAAGAAGAGAGCCAGGACGAAAGTTACGTTGAAAAGACAGTCGTGGAACAATTTCAAAAGGAGGTTTCGGCATAGAATTTGGATGAAAAGATATTCATATAAATTATTTTATAAACGTCATAGAATAATGCAAATTAGAACAAAGAGTTTCAGTTGTAATATCTGCAGGGAGAAATTTCTTCTGAGGTCTGATTTATTGGAGCATATAAAAGTGCATTTTGGAGGAAATCGCAGCAGAGAAGTGCTTAAGCCAGTGTTGAAAGTGGAAGACCCGGATGAAAAGCTCTATTTAGAACATCATCCTTTTCAGTGTGAATTGTGTGAAAAACGATTTACTGCTAAAACTTACTTATTACAACATCAGACATGCCATACAGAAGATCAAGGTTTTCGTTGTCACCTCTGCCCGAAAATTTTCCAATGGAAGTCTAATTTAATAAAACATAGGAAATTTCACAGTGGAGAAAGACCGCATCAGTGTGATATTTGTGGCAAAAGTTTCATGGAAAGAGCGCAATTAGGAGAACATAAAAAATGCCATTCTGACGAGAGACCTTATAGTTGTGATGTCTGTGGAAAATGTTTTAAGTCGCGATCGAACTTAAAATGTCATAAAAGATGTCACATTGAAGAAAGACCTTTTGACTGTATGATTTGTAAAAAGAGTTATAGGACATGGTCGGATTTAAACATTCATAGCAGGTGCCATTCAGGAAAAAAGCCCCACAAATGTGAGTTTTGTGGCAAGTGTTTTAGAGTTAGATCAGCTTTAAGTATTCACAGGAAAAGCCATTCTAAAGAGAGACCTTATCAGTGTGAGATATGCAAAAAGTGTTTCAAACAGAAATATAATTTAAAACAACATATGAAATGCCATTCTACAGAGAAACCTTTCCAGTGTCAAATATGTAATAAGAATTTTAGGGAAGAGAAACGTTTAAGGAATCATAAAAAAACACATTCCCAGGAGAGACCTTTTCAATGTGATCTCTGCAAAAAGTATTTTAAAGAAAAGGTATATTTAAAACGGCATCTAAAAGCTCATTTTCTTGAAAGAACCCACCAATGTAATTTATGCGAAAAAAGTTTTAAGTGGCCAAACAATTTAAAAAAACATCAGAGAAAACATTTTGAAGTGAAGAGTTATCCTTGTGAATTCTGTGATTTGAAATTTACAGAGAGGTCGGCTATGTTTCAGCATCGGAAATCTCATGCTGACGAACGGCCCTATCCATGCGAAATCTGTGGGAAAGGATTCAAAAATAAAAAGCACTTAAGACGCCATGTAAAGAGACATTCTCCAGAGTTGCCTTATCATTGTGAAATCTGCAATAAAAATTTCAAAGATCCTTCTTACTTTTCTAAACATGTACGAAATCATTCTTTAGGGACAATTTATCAATGTGAGTTCTGCACGGAAACCTTTACAGAAAAATTACTATTAATGGATCATGAAAAATGTCATTTTTATGACACAATCTATCAATGTACTCTTTGCAAAAAGAATTTTGGGAACAAAGCAAATTTGGCGAGGCATGAAAAATTACATTCCGAGGAAAGTTCTTTCCAGTGTGAAGTATGCAAAAAGAATTTCAAAAACCACAGGTATTTAAATCAACACATGAAAATTCATTCGAACGAACGACCTTATCAATGCGAGATCTGCAACATGAATTTTAAAGATAAGCATCCGTTAAAGCGACACATACAATGTCATACTGACGAAAAACCTTTTCAGTGCGAGCTCTGTGAAAAAGCATTTAGGAGAAAGTCACATTTAGTACGACATCAGAATTGCCATACAGACGAAAGACCTTTTGAGTGCGGGTTTTGTCCAAAAAGTTTTAAGTTGAAATCTGTTTTAATTGAACATCAAAGATGTCATTCCGAGGTGAAACCTTTTCAGTGTAACCTATGTGAGAAAAGCTTTAGACAGAAGTCGAATCTGCTTCAGCACGAGAAGCTACATTCTGGCGAACGGCCGTTCGAATGCAAAACTTGCTTTAAGAACTTTAAAAATAAAAAATATTTGAATCGACACATTAAGACACATTCCGAAGAGAGGCCTTACCAGTGCGATTTGTGTGATATGAATTTCAAGGATAAGCACTTATTAAAACGTCATTTATTGTGCCATTCGGGAGAAAAGCCGTTCCAATGCAATATATGCAAAAAGTATTTTAGAAGAAAATCACACTTGGTAAGGCACGAAAAATGTCATACGGGCGAGAGACCGTTTCCTTGCGACATGTGTGAGAAAAGTTTCAAAAGTGTTTCTGAATTAAACGGTCATCAAAGAAATCACATGAAAGTCATTTATATGATGAAATCACAAGATAAGAAATGCGATGAATCATAGCTCAAGTAAATTGTGATTTCTAATCGAATCCTTTTGTTCTACAATAGGATAAGATGTAATAATTTACCATACCTCGAAGAAGTGCAATTGTGAGTGTTCCTCACAGACCTGTAATGATAAAAATATAGTTATGTGGACCAAAAACTGTGTGAATTTAGAAGACATGTTCCAAGAAATACATAAAATTATTTTCAATATTCCTTCTTAGCGTCTCCAAAGTATAGTTAAAAATGAATTACGATAATAAAACTTATAAAGTAAATATTTACAAGATGAGATGATGATCCAATTTATGGCAGTTAAAATCATAAATAATAATAGAAAATTAATGTTTATTGTTATAGAGCACAAATTTTATCTGCAATATTTTCATTAAACTATTTCAATTTCAGATTTAGGAAAAAAATATATTTTGCAGAATTGATAAGAGTGAGAACTGTAGATATTGGCTATGAGATGTTTGGAAAAATATAGTATTTGCTAGGTCAGAGTTAGATTTAATTTATTATATCTGCTATTGCATGCTTTATAAGGTAATTTCTTAAAAAAAAAATCATGTAATGATATTTATATATATATAATTATTTCCATATAAATCATAAGCTATTCTTATACATATATTAGGTCAAAATCTTTTTATTTCTTAAAGATTTTAATCTTATAAAATTAAATTTAATATTTTACTAGTTTCTAGTTTATATTCATAAAGTTTAATCATATATATATGAAACTATATATGTATTACACAGGGTATCTGGCTTGGAGATTTGATACGTAAAATAAAATTAATATAATGTTGATAGTACTAAGAGTTTTTTCTGGTATTAAAGTCAAGCTAATGCCAACAGTTATTTCTTGTTGTTTCTTCAATACCATTTTTAAATAAATGATAAGATTACTCACAAACCTGCCTATTTAATTCTAAACAACTGAAATGTTCTGATATAATCATAGAATGTGGTTTTTGGTGTTTGCAGATAGGAAGGACCAAAGCAGTAAACTGAATTTCCATGTCCTACTGTGAGGTCCTGGACAGGTCCAAACCATCGCAAAATTTGTATTAAAATTATTTGTTGTTTGAACAAAAGAAAAAGGAAATTGTGTTTGCAGTTAGGCATGGATTTTTGTTTATTTAATAACGTGACACAAAAGTAAATGTGTGAGTCTTGAGTGTGACTCAGACACATGTTGAGTTACTGATCAGTGTCAAGCCGGAGAGATCAAACTTTGACATCAGCGCTTGTATACCATAAACAAAGTTAAAACAAATCAAGGGGAAGAGAAAGATTGACAAAAAAAAAAAAAAAAAAAAAAATTGCAATAAATCGTTAGTGATCAAAATTTGTCAAGAACAAAAAAAGAAAGAAATAATGGGTTAAATTATGAGAGCAGGTTTCTTTTTTCTCTTGTCACTTCCCAAGTAGAGTTGAGAGATGGTCAGATAGATCATCTCAGATGGACTTTTTCCCTAGACCCGAACCAATCCTATTTCACCTGGAAACAGGGGAAGGGACCAATCGAGAATTGACAAGCAAAAGTCAGAATGAATTAGAATGAGTGATCGAGGACAAAAATCTTATAAAAACTCCAAACCTCAAGAAAAATGCGGGAACATACTCAGTGAACAGACACGTAGTTTCCTATATTGTGTTGACAGGCAAACCAGAATCCCAAGCGATAGCAACACTGCTCTACTTGTTCATTGACTCACCTAGTATACTACTTGCAGCGGGCCACCTCCCACCAAATGCTTTATCATCACTGCCCCAGGGCTGCCTTCAAAAGTCTCTTCATCGAAGGACAAACACCAAGATATAAGACTTGTGGACGACATTGGTTACTAACAACAGAAACTAAACATCTACCTATGTAAGCAGATCCTTTGTATCCAATAAACGGGTTTTTTTTGTAAGAGTGCTTCATATCTGTGCCTCCCCTCCACCATCACTACCCAAATACAATTTGACCCTTGACTATCCTGATGCAGAATTAAATGATTCCCCCTAGTCACTACCACTATGGGACACCCAAAATCAAATCTGTGTTATGAAAAAACTCCAGAAATTTTCTGGGTAGTCTGACCTGCATATGTTGGACCTTTCTGTCACCACCTGGTCACCTCATTGTGTACCTGGCTGAACCCATAATGGATCTGAAAAAAAGCCCTTAGTGCCCACAGAGCAGAAAGAGTAAGATAAACCTTGTTTATATTTTTTAGGTATTGATTTTAAAATTATAGTTTTCACATTACTATAAATATTTGCAAATTTTAGTTTAAAATATTTAATGGTAAATCATAAATTTATGTGAGGAAGGGTATGGATTGATATATTAGAACAGACATATGCCTTGTGGAAATCCATTACTCCTATTACAAAACATGGGCTTCAAAAAATTGAAATAAAGAACAGTCACATACTTTCTTCTTTCAATAAAAGACAAGTACAGTTTAGCTAAAATAAAAGATTGTTCGTGACTCTTTTGAAAGAAAGGATATATGAAAATGCTAGATCTATGTAAATTATTTAGTATCTTGTAGCAATCTGACCTATTGATTCTAGTAATATTGATATCTTTTTTGAAACTTTCAAATTGTTGGCTAAAAAATTGTTTAATTTGTTCAATATACATATCTCAATTAGAGTTTAAACTGAATTCATTAATATAATAGCATTTATCCTTGCCACCAATTCTTGTACTGTATCTTGTCTGATGGATAGGAACAAAATTAATGAATTTCATTTTTAGCAAATAACTGCAGGTTAATATTGATAACAAGATGAACAAGATTTCACTACTTTGGTTTCAATATAAAGCATTTCTTAAGTCACTAGTGTTATGTTTATTGTCTCGAGGTTACAACCAAAGTGAGCGCTCAGGTACTGTTCCCGTGATGCATCAGCAACGATCGCCACCTGGCGGACTCACTAATATTTTACATTTTAACATTTTAATACAATACATATTACATCTCCCTTTCTTACACAAAGTCTTTGAAACGCGATGGCCTACGGATCACCCGGCCTGATCGAGTTGTCAAGTCTGTAGCCTCATTGCCGCTCACCNAAATACATATGACCATTGTCACCCATTATTAATTATTCTTACAGGAGTCATTTAGAGATTTGGCAAATTTTCTTATGAATTTCTGCAAATATCTTATGTAAATTGCAAGCGTCTGTAATATATATTTATACTATCATAAACATAAAAACTGATCTATTAATTATATATTAATAAATTCTGAGGCATTTAACTGATTCTTCAAGTCAGATATCTGTAATTAATGAAATAATCAATATGTTAATTAAGCATTTATAGTACTGCAGTTGTTTGGACAGAGATATTTATGGTTCTTTTATTACACAGATCCCAACTCAACAGATTTTCACTTCAATATCTATACAGGAAAGTGGGGGTCGTCTCTTATTATTTTACAGGTAGGTAACACATGCGTGCGTAACACAGAACAAGAGAATAAATTTAATGACTAACTTAAAACTAACAAGGAAAGGAAACGAATAGACTTAGGAAAGCAAGGGAAAGATAGAAAGGCAAATAGAAAGTACCCGGGTTCAAGTCATTTAGTTGATCTCCTTGACGATTTTCATTCTCACAATCGTGATATCCTCTCTTTCTCTACTAAACCAGCAGTTCAATGTCTAGGTTCTCCTGCTCTCCTAGTGTCCTATGGATCCTCGTACCTATTTCTTTCCCTGGTCTTGGCAGATTCTCTCTTACAGCTACAGCCTCCTCTCTTTCGAGTCTGGAGTGCTGTGTACCACGTCTGTTTTCTCCAAGGTCCAACCCAAAAAGTGACTACCACTCTTCTCTCACATTGCCTTGGGCTCTTACTTCCTTTGTCTATCTCCCCAAATTTGGAAAAGTCTTAATCTCCTCTTCCTTTGTTCACCTCTCAGTTCTTAGAAAGGGTAATCCTCTCCCTCAAGTCGTAACGGTTTATGTAAAAATTGCTTTGAGACAATGGAAAGGAAGTAAGAAAGTAGAAACGAAAGAAGAATGTAGAAAAAAAAGAAAGAACTTACAAACTATATAAAAACTAAAATAAGGCTGACAGCCNGATGAATCAGCAACGATCGCCACCTGGCGGACTCACTAATATTTTACATTTTAACATTTTAATACAATACATATTACAACTAGGAGATCATATCATCCGGCTTATCATTAAATACAGTAGACCCCCTATAACACGGTAGATACGTTCTGTTTTATATGAATTCTGTGTTTTACGAGTCACTTAAATACATGAGCCAATCACAGTCCAGCACGTGTGCAGTTTAAAAACTACGGCTGTTTGAAAGGTTTTCTTCCATAAAATTAATCAATTCTAGACCAATTTGACTCAACATTTCCAAATCACGTATAATTTTTTGGGAATAACCCATATGAACTTTGCTATAAACAAAAAATTGTAGGATTACTTACCGAGTATGCACTGTTTGACGACGCCATTGCTTACGCTTGTTTTCATTGTGGAGTGACGCATTGAATGGAGGGCGTGTGTTTTCTGATAAGTTACTTTTCTGCGAAAAATTCACTGAACTTTGGAGACATCATTAATATAAATATAATTTTTATGGAGATTGAATAATAAATGTTTATTAGTAGGTCCAGTGCTCATTTAAACTCAATGGTTTGTGCAATATCCGCTATTGGTCTAGATTCGACCAATCCTATCGCATCACGAGTCAGCGATGACATTTTACCGTATTATACCAGTCTCTTTTAGCATGTTTATACGAATACAATCACAATTTTTTTGCCATGTTATACGAATCCATATTATATGAACCCGTGTTATAGGGGGGTCTACTGTATTACAACTCTGACAAAGTACAGTGGAACCTCGGTATACGACCTTAATCCGTTCCTAATGTTTGGACTTATACCAAATAGGACGTATACCAAACCAACCTTTCCCATAAGTAGTAATGTAAAAATGATTAATCCGTTCTCATGAAAAAAATGGCTGGCTTTAAACATCTCACTTTCCTGGCTAGTTCCTGCTTGATTTTTCATGAGATCAGCATGTATCTTTTTAGCTTTCTCGCAAATAATTGCTTCTGATACAATGTCTCCAGCACACTGTTTTTCAGTTATGCAAAGCAAAAGCAATTTCTCAACATGATCTAATGTCTTCAATCTCTGTTTAGAAATAGATTTAATCCCTTTCGCAATGTTAGCAGATTTAATAATGTCTTTATTTTTCACGATTGTTGATATCATCGTTCTCGGAAATACGGTATGCAACAGTTAAATCTCGAACATGCATGCTACCTTCATATTCCTCAACAATCTCTTTTTTCAGTTCCATTGTGATTCTAGTCATTTTTTTAGTTTTCTGTTGCTTTTCACTTGCCTTTTTGCAATTCATGATTAATAAAAATAATAAAATTTTACTTACAAATTAAAATCAGAAGAAATTTAACAAAGTTATGAACTGTGGCACCGCAAATGTCTAGTCTAGTCTAGTACACCGATAGTGCTACTTGTTCATAGATGGTGTGTATAATTGAATTAAGTCGTATACCGAGCAAAATTTGTTTCGTCCAAACAGGACGTATTCCAAATTGGACGTATTCTAAAGCAGACGTATACCGAGTAAATCATGTGGCAGTTGCACTGTATATTGCAACTGCCACATGATTTTTTCAAGTGTGTCACTTGCCCAAAAAAGGTTATAATCAATATATAAAAGGAAAAAGAATACTAAAAAATCAACAACAAAAAATAAAAACGTGGTTACAAAAAATTTAAGAATTAAATAGTATACATTTACAAAATTTTTTATATCATGAGTATTTAAAGTAAAGCATATGTAAATTGAAATAAATTATTATGCATGAAAATGAAAATAAAAAGATTACCTTGTACCCACTTAAAATGCCATTTGGTTTTAAAGGAGGTGACCAAGAAATTGTTACACTATTGTTTGAATGTGGAATTGTGTCAATTTTTGATGGTGGATCTGGAACTTGAAAGAAAAACAAAACAAATAAGTATCAATGAAATAATTTAGTTATAATATAATAATAAATTATTATAGAAATATAAAATCTAATTTGTTTATTACCATATTCTTTTGTTCTAACTGAAACAACAGAACTCCAATTACCCCACCCAATTTTAGTAGCTGCCTGAACCTAAATAGACAAAATGAATAAACTATTTGAAGAAAAGATCTAATTAATTAATTATTATATATTCCAAATTCTAAATATATAAGCTATAAAAATTATTTTAATATTTAAAAATATCTTTTAACATTTATTAAGTTAATGAAAATTATTATTTTTTTGTTTAATTATCATAAATTAAAACATTTGAATAATTTCACATAAATAATTCATATACAAAACAATCTTTTGATTTCTTAAATTTTATTTAATAACAACAATTAAAATATAAGTTTTATTGTTATTATAATTGTCAATTTTTACAATTTATTCTACATTTAAAATTATTTAATAATTATTATTAAAGCTGTAGAAAAACATCCTTAATCCAATAAAGATTTTATACAAAAATGTACATTCAGTGTAAATATCATACATTGATATCAAATGAATCTGTCCAGCCTGTTCTTGCAGTGATATCTAGATCTACCATCACAGCTACACCTACAAGTACCCATTCAGAACAATGTGTCCAGTTCAACCTATGATATCTCTAACTCCTCATACTTTGGGTACTTGGAGGGAATGAGATGGCGGCTGATATGTGAACGTACCATCACTACCAAAGGGTGAGTAGAAGGACATAAAAAGCCAGTTCAAACATATACCAAGCACCTTTTTCTCTTTGTCATTCCTCATAAAGCAGTGGTGTGCCGTGACATTTGATGATAGGGAAGCTGTGTTTCTGTAAGAAGCCAACTTCCAGGGGCAATCAGTCAGTGATGGTCTAGGGCAGTGTTTCTTAACAGGAGGGCTGCGGCCTCCTGGGGGTCCATAAGAAGTTTGCCGGGGGCAGCCAAATTATGCAAAATTTCCTTCAGAATATAATAAAAACAAAATTGATGTATAACCAAATATCGTATTGAAAAGTGAAATAAGAAAGATAAAAAAAACTAAATACAAAAACTTTATTTATTTCTTATTTCTTCCTACATACAACTTTGTTAGTACAGAAGAAATAAATGCAAATATACTACTTACACCGCAGTATTTACTTGTGACCGTAGGGTCGGTGTCTCTTCGACACCACGTCAGGAGACCTGAATCTGACACCACCGAGTCTCGCAGGACTCGGAAATCGCGACGTTACGTCACGCGAGCGGTAGCGTGTGAGCAATTGGATTCGGAGTAGAGGTGAGGCGAGAGACGAGGAAGTAACTTAATCGGATTCCATGGTTGCTAACAATTAACAATTTTAATGAAACTAAAGGAAATACAAAGAGAGTCAATTTCGGTCATAGTTCCCCTATTCAAGAGAGGCCCATCGAGAGAGAGAGTTTACAAAAGAATCGTGGGCTGATAAATACCTTGTCGATGGACTGTTCTTTCCACTAGTTCCGAATCTTGTGTCCCTTCACTGGTGTGGAGGCACGGAGGAGGGTAGAGGCTTAACCAGGCATGATTTTTTCTTACGGTTTTAATCCTGGGTCCCGATTTGAATCCTGGGTCACGATTTTAATTCTGGAGGACGACTTTGTTGGGCGGACTTTTGAAGATGATCCTCTCTTCTTGAGAGTTTTTTCTTTGTGTCCTCTTGGGTTTTTCCATTAGGTCAGGTGGCTGTTGTTAAGGGTCTGGCGTCCAATATGAATTCTCCATCGAAAGTTCCTGGTGACACATCCCTGACTAACTGGATCCGACTCAACAAGGAACAAACTCCATGGGAAATAATTTTTATGGCTTTTATCCTAACTCGATAAAACGCTCGAATTTAACCGATTAAAGTTTCCAATAATTAAAATTTAAAATAACATTTTATTAAGGGTCTGTTTGTCCCTCACATACTTCTTTAATTCCAAAGTAATTCTAAGAAACTATTAATGCTTGAAATTTTAAAAATAAAGCAACAATAAAAAAAAACAATTTATTATAGATAATTTAACAAATATAAATTATTATTTAAAAAAATAAGGGTCACAAAAAAATTATGAAATATAATATTATGGTGGGCCACGAGCATAAAAAGATTAAGAACAACTGATCTAGGGTAACATTCGTATTTGTCTGTTCGATAAGCCAGTAAAAATGTAGACTTCTCTAAATGTATTTTTAATTAATAGATTATCTAACGCACTTAATAAATAAGCAAGTTCAATATAATTAACTCTGTTATATTAGATTCAATAGATTCTCTATGCCCTCTAAATGCCAATTCTTGCTTCGATAACATCTACTAATTAAAATGTAATATATCTATTAGCTGTAACTATCTCGTTATAATTTTCAATATTTATTTCATATTGTGTACTTATGTTAAATTCTATTCTATTTTGATTTCCAAATTGCTTCAATTTTACAAAAGAATCGATGGAGATTTACGATTTTCGTGTTTTTTGCCAGCTTTACTCAAATCATTTAAATCTTCAAAGCCATTCTTATTCTACACTAATTTTATTTGAAATTAGTAGGCAAGGCCAACAAAACAATTTTTGCATTTTTATGCATCCACAAAGCCATTTTACGTCTTCATAAATTTTATCGTGAAAATGTCGAACAAATTTTTTTGTTGACGTATTTATATTTAATTTAGGCATTGGTCTTTCTCTTTTAATAATGTTTTCTTTTTCATTATATGGTCTCGAACCAAAACATTTTTAAATAAATTTTCAATATCACAATTACATTGTAAATTGCTAGCCATAATATAAGGGCTAAAATTAAAAATAAAATTATAAAAACTTACTTGTTAAAATAAAATGTGTGATGGATATACAATTATACATACCTGGTACAAAATATTCAATTGTATGAATATACTTTTAAAGAAAATTATAATTAAATATAGTTTTGTGAAGAAACGTACATAAAAATAACATAAAATAGTCTTTACTTTTTAAATATTAAAACAATCCACCTAGTTAAAATTGCTCCCTACCAGTGGCTCGTGGATGGAATCAGAGACGGTCTTGGTAGGTGTGCGGTGCGGTGCATGCTTGCCAAATCCCGAGGGTGCCGATACCGGTTAATGTCTCTTTTGTCTCATCACTAGTATATCTCAAAGGACGCGACAGGGTTGTTGTAAATTTTAAACGTTTCTCATCATAGCTGTAAAAATCTAAATTTGTTAAACTTAAAAGTCATTTGTTTTCTAACTACTGTAATTCGTTTTAAGACCAGGTGTCCACGGAAATTTCCAAAATTTACAACTTTTACTCACTTTCATTGAACTGGAAAAATTTCTGTCTTTATTACATCTAATATTACGAAGAAATCAGTCCCACTGTACTCGGCTAGATATTGGTCCGGTTAGGCTTTTGTTTAAGTAAAATTCCGGCTCTTTCATCAGGGTTTTGTTTACGTCCCCAATTCCCTAATCGCTTAATTATTTAACTACTTCTTAAGTAGAAATAAGTCGAAACCAGTTACTTTGTACTCGAATATTTGTAGTCTCGGGAAAAAAGTGGAAAGACAAATTTTTACGACAACGGATACATAAATCGTAAATTTAAGGAAAATAAATTCTAGAGCCTTTTCTGTACCTGGTGCATCTCTCTCATTCATTAAATTTAGTTGTAAATGACGCTGTCGAAGTAACGGTTAATTTTTTAACATTATACAAGAATTGTACACGTTTTTTTCTACATCCCCTTAAAGATGGGATGTACGAAATCGTAATATCACTGGTTTAACATCGAAATCCGTGAGTAATATAAAATCGGAGAGCGGAATAAATATATCAAATATTTTAATGGATTTTTTAAACTCCTGTCAACTATACAGAACTATCGTAAAAACATACCAGTAAATTCTTATCGGTTGGGTTAAGTTATAAATCTACTCGTTATTCACGTAATCGAAATATCTAGTGGGCAGGCGGCTAACAGCCCAGAACCGGTCCTGGATAGAATTAGATGCGGTATACGTGTAGCATCCACCCAAGGTCTTAGGCTTCCACCAGCTAAACCAGGTGAGGTTGGTGCTCTGTAAAGCAGATGCGCGAATCTGGCTGTTTGGATGCTGACAATACAGCGCTTCCACTCCACCACTAACATTCGAATATACAATAGCAATCTTATTTTTTTTTCATGTGTAGTATAGAAATTTGTAATAAGATACATAATGCGGTTATAATAAAATATTGTGCAATTATTTTTATATAATTAAAATTAATATGTATTTATTTTTTAGAAAATACAAGGGAAGTGGTGCATCCACCGCTTCCAATGATGGCACACCACTGTCATACAGTGACCTTGATGATTATAAACTCTGAACTTTTTGTTGGCAAACAATGCCATAAATTCTAACATGTGCTAGAATTAGTGTTGCCACGTTTTCAAAATCGCTGACTCAGATGGCAGGTGAGGTTTGTTCGAACAGAAGTTCCTGACGCATGCGTAATGTCATTTTGCAATGCGAAGAATAACGTGCAGCGCATGACGGTTCTAAATCACTTGCAGTTAGGGACTTTTTCTTTTATTTGTGGTTTTAGGTCCCTTACCACTCGGAGAGCACAAAGAGACCAAAACACAGTTATGGACTAGGGAGACTTGGTTAGGAGTAACATAAGTAACCTAAATTAAGAAAGAGCAACTACAGATGACTTAGCTCTATTGGATATTGGAGATGTGTACGAATACGAATCCTACAAAAAAAAAAAAAAAACAAGTCAACAGGTTGTGCATAATATTCCCGGATAAAATTAATAGTTAATGGTCAGTGAGTCAATTCCCGATCTGTCCAGGTGAAAACCGGACGGGTGGTAACACTAGTTAGAATCTTACTCAAGACTTACATTATTTACATTCATGTCATTTCATGCTGTGTTTACTTTATACAGATTCTTTTCAATATTAAAAATATATTTTTAATGTATTTAGTAAGTGGTTCAGACTATCTGAGGCCTCACACTCAGAGACTATTATTCAAAAATAATTAATAGTGTCTGAATCTTGTTCCCTGTTGATAAGGGAGAGTCAATTCAATGACAAATCCAAAAAGTAGTAATTGGGCTGCAATTTGAAAAAATTATAAACCTATAAATTCCTACTGTCACCTGTCTGTCTGTCTTTCCTTAATCTTCAGAACAAAGTTAGATGAGACCAGATATGGAAACCTTAGGGACAGGAGGCCCCAATTAACTATATATGAACTTCTGATGCAAACTGAAAATCATATTATATCAATTCAAAAATTTTCTCCTGAAAGGTGTTAGATAGATGACTAGCACACCTCTATTCTTAAAGGAAAAGTATGATGTATAGGGGCAAGCCACTACTAATTTGAGGGGAGAGCATATATTTTTTAAATTAAATAAATTAAAAATATGATTAAAAATTGCAGCCTAGCATTGTGACGATGTCACAATAAATAATTTCTCATTTAATAATGATGTTTAATTAACATAATTAACATTTCTAGTGTTATTGTCAATTGTTGACAATAACACTAGAAATGACAATAACACTAGAAATATAACTATATTCAAAGGAATAATAGATCATATTGAAAAAGTATTGTATTCTTGGTATGGAATTGATTCTTATTTTTATTGTTAGTTTTTATTTATTTAAATTATTATTAATTCACTTTAATTTTATTATAAAATTGAGGATTATAATGATAATCCTAGATTGATTGAATGGAAAGTTGATTTCACTTTTGATTTTTGAGTAATAATGGCACAAACCCAATTGAATTTATGTAAATGAATGAATTATTGTTAAATAGAATGTATTTATTGTCTATTACAGCATTATATTTTATATTTAATTGTTATGCTGTACTTTTAGTGAACAAACCAATTGTTTGGACTTGAAAATAATTTTCATACTATGTCAGATTTGGCCATGGTAAGTCAGGATGTCATAAGTTGAAGACTGCATTATATAATTCTGGATTTTAGACTTTCATTATATTTGTGGGTTCTCACCAAATTGTTGCCTATCAAAAAGAGGTACGACTTCGTCCTACCTCTTTTTGATAGGCAACAGTTTGGTGAGAACTGCCCACTGGTCAGTGGATGGCTTGTTTATGTTTTTCTATCCCGTAAAGTCGGGATTCTTTTGTCAGGTCAAGTGGAGGAGGTGAGAGGGGTCGTCGGTAAAGTGCGAGCGATACTCGAAGTAAAGACGACTTTTAACAACAAAACAAACATTTATTTAGACATCATAATATCCTATCATACAGGGATTAACTATTCGCGCGTAATTCAAAGGGACCACGCCGAGAGAGAGTTTACAATATTTTGTCATACCTCCGGTTGATTCGAATTCGTTCCCTAAGGTAGGCTGTCGCTTCGGCAAGGTCTGGAACGTCTCCCTGGGCCGTCGGTGAGGCGGTCTCCCTAGTTCCTCGGCGTGGATGAGTTGGCTCGCGTCAGGTGTTGTCAGCCCCCCTGTTGGTCGTCACCTCCCGTTTATACCCTCTGATCTCATGGTCGCTTTTCAGCAATCATAGAATTTTTTGGATAAGGTCCGGGTGATTCAGTTGCGAGTTCCGTTGGGAAAGGAAGTTACTCCGGGGATAGAAAGATGAACATCCTTGGAAAATTTCGAAAAACAAAAGGGAAAATGGAGGGTTTCTTTGTTAAAACTACTTTATAGTTAATATTGTAATTATGTTGATTTATTTAATTTTTCTTGATTCGGTCCGCTTCTCACATATCACTTTAAAATGAATTGTTAAACTTATTTCCTAAATTTGAGAATAATTTTAATTATTAAATACCATTACAAATTATAACATTTTATTTTATTTTTTTCACTTTTGATTCTTTCCATCCTCTGTACATTAACAGGGCAATTGTATCATTTAATTGCTATTATGCCAAGAAAGCAAGTAAACAATAATGCAAACTTGCACAAATTGGTTTTTTGATAATAAACTTTTTGTCAAAAAAAAATTATTCTGACAGATTATAGGCAGAACATTACAGTAATTTAAATATTTAAACTAAAAGAACTACAAAAAAAAAACTTAAAAAAAAAAATATTTTCTGATATTAACTTTTAATTCTATGCAGAAATAACTGCATTTTTATGGGAAATATTAGTCCATATTTTTTTCAACACCTTAATCTATAGATCCTTCTTTCCCCTACAACTTTATTCACCAAGAACAAAAATAAGAATTTAGTATTTGCACATTCTGCCATACCATATTTAGGATCAATCACATTATGAATTGTTCACAGTTTCAAAAAATATGGGCTAATACTTTCAATCAAACCGTAATTGTCTCTGCATGGAATTATCTGTAATGACAGGGATAAGTTTTCTGATCTAGATATTAACTTTTATAACTTATTAAATAATAATTATTTTATTTTATAGAATAAACCACAAACCTGTATGGAATAGTTTGTAAATGGTTCTAAATTTTCAAATGTGTATTGGCCACCTTCATTTTCATTGTTGTTCACTGAAAAACTTTTTGTGTCCAATTCATTATCAGTTGGCCAAATATGAAGTCGATATTTCACTATGACACCATTAGGTGGATAAGGAGCATTCCATTTTATGATAAATTTATCTTCTGTAACCCAATCTATTCTTGGTGAAGGAGATGAAGGAACTGAAATAAATGATTCATTTATATTGCAATATTAAAAATATTGACATTTTAATATATTAAAAATATTAATTTCAATAATTCTAAATTAGTTCTTCTAACTTTTATGTTGAAAACTTTGATTTCACTTTAGTTTGTTACTTTATGTCAAATTTTTCAATATAGTTATAAACAAAATAAAAAGCAACTTTCCAATTACAAAACAATCATAAAAATTGTCTTGTTAATTTAAAATAATAATTAGTAAAAATATATTATCAAATATTCTTTAAATTTAAAAATTAAAATATAGGTTTTTAGACAACAAAAATTTAAAGATGCACATTTATTAATTGATGCTTTAACAATGAAATGAATATATTAAAAAGTGGCAAAAATTGCTGATAAAAATGTAGACAGTTGTTTTCAACATAAATAATTTTTTATAATACCACTTCTTTTTACTAAAACTTCTTAAGTTACTCAAATGATCTTCCCACACTGTAAACTAGATCAGGTCTTGTTCCAATCATTAGATATGTTAAAAACCAACTATTTTTGTTGATATAATTGGAATTTTAATATAGATGATTATGTAAATTAGTAGAGCTACTAAATAGTCTCACATATTTTTAACCACCACTTTTGTTCTGTAACACGATAGACTTTTTTGTCTTGTGTTCACTTTATTCATGCAATTATTTACTTATATTAAAGATTTATTTATTTATTTGTCTTATTTACAGAAGGAAATGCCTATGACAATGGATTTCTCTTCCACATTAACAACGAAACAATAAAAACCCTGAAAAAATATTTAAATATTTTTGTACTATTTGTGTGAGAGGTTGTTTTATTTTTGTACTACTTGTCACTTTATTATTCAAAAACTCTAAAGCCAACTTCTACAGAATACATCCCAAAGCATACAAGAGTTGCACATGCCCATTAAACTCTTTTCCTTTACATAAGAAACTCTCAAAATGAGATCCCACCAAATATGACTTTACACTATTTCCAGGACTGGTTCTGATAGGTATACAGTGCATGCATACATGCAGGCAGCCAAATTCATAGGGCAGCTGATAGTGCACTCTAAAAAAATAAAATTCAAATATAGTTTATTATTATTTTAATATAGTGGTGGGCAATGAAATAGACTGATTCATTTTACCTCTAGGTCCTTAGTGTTTTACATAAATAAAATACTTTCCTTACTGGAACCACACAATAAATAAAAATCAACACCTTTAAACATCCAGCAAATCGTTTTTTAATATTTAAAAACGCTTTCGAACGCTTTAAGCGATCATCATCAGTTAACATTTGTGAATCGAACGAAGAAATTCGAAAATTACGTAAAACGAAATTCAAAAAGCGATTACATGACATAGGGAAAACCCCATTCAACCGACATTGGCTAAGAAATTCGAATTTCATTCTCGCTCTGCATAACTTTAGGACAACTTTCCTATAAATTTTGGCCGGCGAAGCCATTACTGTATAAATAAAATACTTTCCTTACTGGAACCACACAATAAATAAAAATCAACACCTTTAAACATCCAGCAAATCGTTTTTTAATATTTAAAAACGCTTTCGAACGCTTTAAGCGATCATCATCAGTTAACATTTGTGAATCGAACGAAGAAATTCGAAAATTACGTAAAACGAAATTCAAAAAGCGATTACATGACATAGGGAAAACCCCATTCAACCGACATTGGCTAAGAAATTCGAATTTCATTCTCGCTCTGCATAACTTTAGGACAACTTTCCTATAAATTTTGGCCGGCGAAGCCATTACTGTATAAATAAAATACTTTCCTTACTGGAACCACACAATAAATAAAAATCAACACCTTTAAACATCCAGCAAATCGTTTTTTAATATTTAAAAACGCTTTCGAACGCTTTAAGCGATCATCATCAGTTAACATTTGTGAATCGAACGAAGAAATTCGAAAATTACGTAAAACGAAATTCAAAAAGCGATTACATGACATAGGGAAAACCCCANATGTAAGCGGGAAGATTATATAAGATAATTTTTATTGGATGCATATAATTTATTTTATTTCTTTTATAATTCTTAAGATTATTTAAACTTGGTAAATGTTAACGTATTTACATATATTTACGTAACCGCTTTTTGAATTTCGTTTTACGTAATTTTCGAATTTCTTCGTTCGATTCACAAATGTTAACTGATGATGATCGCTTAAAGCGTTCGAAAGCGTTTTTAAATATTAAAAAACGATTTGCTGGATGTTTAAAGGTGTTGATTTTTATTTAGTGTTTTACTTTTTTGTTTCTGTTGTGGTCATACCACAACAGAAACAAAAAAGTAAAACACTAAGTAAAACACCTTATTTTGTATAGTGTTGTATATATTATTCTTAGTATTTATTTCATTTTCTTCCTCTTTGTTAGTTCTTTTGTCTATCACCTTCTAGAAACTTCTTCCCTAATATAGGATGTGTTGTGAGGACCTCCAGGTTGTTCTGGCATCAACCAAAGAACAAAGGAGACAATAAAGTATTAGAGAGGAGCCCGAAATATATCTCGATATAAGGATCTTCAGAAGCTTATTGAGAGAACCTGATAGAGTTCTACAATCAACAATTCCTACAATTCAGAGTTAATAATTCAGCAATTACTACCATCACTCCAAGATCGTCAACACTTTGGGTACCCATTCTTTTCTATCATCATATATCTAGCTATCCTATTGTCTATCTTTTCTTCTTTTTTTTTAGTATAAGTAGTTTTATGTATTTAGTCATAGTATGTTTTTTTTTTGTACCGCGGTGAATATTTTTTGTCACAACATTATACTTAACAATTCTGTCCAAGTATCTGCAGAAATTGTATGTAAAAGAACAATAACGAGGGGTGTCGGAATTTATAAAAGAATTCTGTAAAGAAAATAAACACAGGTGAAGGAAGAACATATATGTGTGTTATATGCTTATCCTCTTCTTGGATTACACTCACCATGTGCATATCTTACACTGTATTATAGTGTTGTCAGTAACTTGATTTGATTCATTTTCAATACAGGTAGCCATCGGTTTACGCCAGTTCAATTTACGCCGATTCACAATAACGCCACTTCGCAATTTGCCGTTTTGCAGTGTAATTTCCCAATTTTCCGCATGCTAGACTCATTTTCATTTCAGTGTTAATGTATTTACTGAGCCGCGACATTGTACATTCGTTAAAACAAAGATTTTTATTGAATATATTTATTTTTTCTGTTTAATATTATTGGGTATTATACATTTGCATTAAATTAATATTAAAATACTAAACATTTAGGTACCCACGAGTCAAGATATTAAACTTAAAAGTCCAATAAATGGCATCCGAATCCATAGCGCCAATGAATGTATCCCGTATCAGTTCGTTCAAGAAAACACCTCACGATGCAATAGCACTTCCGGCGATCACAAACTATCGTTAGTGAGACAAATCTACCTCTCGTTGGCCAGACAATATTTTTCTCTCCTTAGGCTGCAACTATGCAGACGCGAGCGAATTTTCCGAGTGAGCGAGAATATGTGGCAAGAACAGGAAAGATGCGATAAATATCAAACCCTATCAAATATGTGCGAGAACCAGAAAATCGCTCACGCCAGCAAGATTTCTCACTTCTCGCTTGTGCATGGTTTTCCTTTGTGAAAACTAAATCGCTCGCAACCTCTCGCTCGCTCTAAATTTGCGTCCGCATAGTCGCACCCTTAGCCACCTTGAATTTTCTCACTCAAACTGACCTTATACCGACCAGTGGTCGACCAATCTGTGTCTTCGCTCGTCTGTAGCTCTACGTCAGGTTAACGTATCCTTTCAACTAAAGAAAGTTTGATGGATGAACTTTGTGAGTTAGACAATGATTGGAAGCGAAGTGATAATGTAAAAAAAAAGCATCATATTCGACCATATTCTGAAATTCTCAATGAAATAAAACAAAAGTGTAAACAATTAAAGATGGATACTTTTTTCGAAAAGAGATCCAAAACTAAAATTTTTTAATAAAAACATTTCAACAATACTACTTCTAACACACCGTAACTTCAACAGACTTACTTCTAGAATAACCAAAACGGTGCTAAAATCGCTTTAATTTGTTTCACTAACGTTTTTGAACCTTTTGGTTCTTCTTCAGGTGAAAAATGGGCAAATCCGTTAAGATTCGATTGAAACTAAAGCTGACATCCTCCACAAGAGGCCGACAACCGCCTTAGCACAGTACGCCACGGACCCTGAGATACAACCGTTATTTGATCAAGCAAAGATAATTTACACCACGCACCAAACACAATATTTGCACTTGATGGAAGCGATTTTTATACATAAAGCAACTCAGGGTAAAAATTGTATAAACAGCAAAGATGAAATATCATTATCAGTAGCGTGGCAAACCCTGATATATGACACATAACGGGAGGAAACGTAGGCTCATAACGGCGCATGCGCAAAAGAAGACGACGATTGCACGAGTTTCGGAGAAGTTCCATGTTCAGAATTCTTTTAAAAAAAAATAATTTCAATCGAATCTTAACGGATTTGCCCATTTTTCACCTGAAGAAGAACCAAAAGGTTCGAAAACGTTAGTGAAACAAATTAAAGCGATTTTAGCACCGTTTTGGTTATTCTAGAAGTAAGTCTGTTGAAGTTACGGTGTGTTGGAAGTAGTATTGTTTATTTGGTTGCGATGCCGGCTAATACGTATTATAGAACACTAGTAAAACTAGTTAAAGCTAGGGCAAAGTTTGAATTTTTAAAAGAATGTAGAGATATTGGAGTACTCCCGATGTCGTTCTATCGTATTACTCTCCCAAAAGGAAGTGAGCCTCTACTAGGTAAAGTGAAGCTTATGTGCTTACGCAGAGCAGTTCGAAATACAAGAAAAAGAATGTACTCGATCCTATCGGAACTAATTAAAATTGAAAATGAGCTTTTTTGGCATACATCCCAATCTCCTAGCCCAAGAAAACGCCAAAATAGTTCCCCAGTACGAG